TATTTATTTATTTATTGGACTTATATACCGCCCCATAGCGCTACAAGCACTCTCCGGGCGGTTTACAAGTTAATTATACAGGCTATTAAATAATAACAAATTAGATCCCGCCACTCTAAATGCTGCTTGGGCCTGTTTTAGATTAGGGCTTTCGATGAGACAGGGCAAGCTTAAGTATTTGGCTTATCTTGAAAGTTTTATTAGGATGTCATTATAAGTTGGTTCCCGTATGCACAAGCAAAAGATATTCTGGACGGCCATAAAAAACGAAAAAGTGCATCCTAGATCAAATCAGGCCTGGATTCTGTCCGAAGCCAAAACGTGGACGCTGAGTCTGTCCTGCTTGGGGCACATCGTAAGAAGACGGGGTTCTCTGGAAAAGGCGAGGATGATGGAAAAGGTGTGGCAGGCAGCAGGAGAAGAGGAGGACCCAATACGAGATGGACAGGCTCCCTAAAAGAAGCCACGACATTTGAGTTTGCAAGAGCTGAGCCAAGGCCGTTGAGGACGGGGCATCTTGGAGATCCCTTATCCACAGGTTCACCATGAGCTGTTATGACGCGCATAGCGACAATCTGAAATCCAAGCGGCACTCGTTGTGTGGAGGCAGTGTGTGTGCGCGCATTTCGCTTTCTAGAAGGCTTTAGTGCTGCAAATGCTGTGCGCAAAGCACGGCTCTCGTCAACAGCTGCTTTCCCCCAAACGGCACCTGCCCGAAACCGGGTTCTTCCCTCCTGGCCCGTAGAGCGGGAGCGCGGCCGAGGGCCTTGCTCCAACACGTTCCCGGCAGTGACTCAGACGGAAGGCGCAAGCTGAGCCCTCGGCCCGGCCGTGCGCGCAGCGGGCTGAAGCAGTGGAGCCAGCACCTGCCGGGGCTTCGGGGCAAATGCCAGCGGTGCGGGAGGCCGTGGAAATGGACGCACCCTTGCAAAGGACAGGGGCCAGCTGGCCTTGAGCTGAGTGCGGGGAGGTGGACTCCTTTTGCTGGATTCTTGGGGGGGGATTTGGGGAGTGGTAGTCCCCCCGAAAAAGCCACGTCTCTGCCCCCGTCGGCTTTCCGATCCCGTGCAGAAGCTCCTTCCAGGCTCTCCTCCGAAGCCGCGCCGTGTCTCCCCGTTGCCCTTTGCCTCGCTGGAAGCCAAACCCCTCCTGTGCAAATAAGAGGAAAAACAAAGAGTGACTCGGGTTCATTACCCCCATATCGTCGTCCCTAGGGAGATGTGGGGCAAAGCCTTCTCTCCTTCCTGGGATCGGAGAAGGACCCGCAGGTCTTGAGTTTTACGTTTACACACCAGGGCTTCTTGACCTCCCGACACACAAACGCTGAAATCCCGATTTTCTCCTCCTCCCCTACTATGGCGATTGCAAATGGGATAATTACAGCCGTCCGACAACATTTCCGCGGCCCCGGCGGTCCGTCCGGAGGAACCCGCAGAGTTCGGATTCGGCCTGCTATTTCGAGAATTCGCCACCGAATTTCAGGGCAGCGCATTCGACCTCTGTAGCAAAGGATATTTTTTTAAAAAAAACACCGTGCCCAACTACAAATCCCATGATCCTGCGGGGGGAGTTACGACAGAAAAAGTGTCAAAGGACTCGGTGACCCACAGTTGGAAACTGCTGATGGAGGCACTCTCCGCTTAGTGAAAATACATTGGCGATTAAATTTTGAAATGGAGTTCAGAGTCTTTGTTGGCTGGTGAGAACGGGACACACACAAAAAAGTGTTTTTACAGTATTTTTCCTCAACCGGCTCTCTGTAATTTGCACCCGACTGACGTTCTTGTTGATTGAAGAACCAAGCCCGGAGGCTAAGAGGCAACACAAATTCAAATGAACTTGGCCAAGTGGATGAACGTATATATTTTTGTTTTTAAAGAGGCCACCCTCCCCGGGGCATCTAAACCTGAAACATCTGCGCAGCAACACCACGTTAACACTCCTTTTGTGCGTTTGCGTTTATTTATTTTATTTTAAATATTGTTGACCCACCCTTTGGCCTTAACAAAGAAGGACCCAAGGTGGCGTCCGTCACTAAAAGACCAATACTTAAAGCTAACAGCAGCCCAGTAGATCAGGACTACACAAAGGCCACATTAAAAAACGGTAAACAACAGCGAGACCAAAAAAAAAATGCATTCAAAGCAGTACGGCACAAACGGTCCATTTAAAAAAACCCACTCATTCAGCCCGTCGCTGAGAGAGAGAGGTTTTCGGAAGAGGACAGCCAAGATGGGGCCCGGCCTGGCCTCCAGTGGCAGGGAGTTCCAACGGCTGGGAGTCACCGCTGAGTGTCTCCCCCACCAGAGATGCTTGTGACAATGGTGGGACGGAGAGAAAGGCCTCTTTTGAGGGGTTGTTTGTGCCCAAACAGAAACAGTTCTCTTGTGAATACTTCCTGCAGAAGGAGGAGAATAGTCTTTCGATCCCACACCCTCCTGTACCGTGGGCGAGACAAGCAAGAATTTACAAGCAGAGGTGGGCAGATGTGTGTTTGAAGGGCCACTCCCAGAAATGTAGACTCCACATTGAGGAAATGGATATTAAAATTCCCCCCCCTTATTTTTAATGTCACATTTTTGTGTCTTTATCAGGAGGTTCTTCCGCAAGGTAGATGTTCACCAGGGAAAGCTTTATCGTTGGCTTGTTTTAAAAATTTCTAGCCGCGGAGTTAACAGGAATAAGGAAAAACCTCCACGGGAAGGGCAGAACGATCTGATTTATTTCTTTTCCGGAATGGGGCTTGTTTGTTTATAACGCGTTTAAGCCCCGGTCCGGAAATCGGTTTACAAAACAAGGCCCTTGAGTTTACGGTGTTAATTTTAAAGACGTGGCGCACAGGGAAGAAAGGGCAAGAGAGGAAAAATAGAAGAAATTCTTATTTATAGATCCTTACAGCGGGGTCACGTAGTGCATGAGAAGGGCCATCGCTTGGCGTAGTGAGCTCCCACCGTTTTTATTTATTTTACGTAAAATGGGAAGGTTTTAAAAACTGCTCCTTGAAATACGCGGCCGGCTCCGTGTGATCCGAGGTTGGGTTTTCCAGGTAATGCGTAGAATCCCCAAAGCCGCTCCCTCTGTTTCTTATGTTCTGACAGATTCACAATATGTACGTGGCCCAAAACGGTTCTCTCCCTCTGCAAAAAGTGACCTTGTGGCCTGCGGGGAGAAATCCTAAAGTTTGAAAAAGTGCACAAAATAATATTTGCGGAGAACGAAAAACATCTGGAGAGACCCCGGTCTAAAGGGCGCCCTTATGGACCACCCCACCCTTTTGTCAGGGGGCACAGGATGATGGGCAGAAATCCTCCCGGGGGAGGTTGTGCTCACAGCCCTTGGCTAAGCCCTGTCATCATCCAGCACTCCCAACAGGATGCTGGGACGTTTCCCTCCCTCCCTAAATCCTGTTGTGGATAGCTCGCTGGAATGAGGCAGACCTCCTGTGACGTCAGAGCAGTTCTGCCAGTGGCTGCTGTGACATCACAGCGGTTCGGCCAATGGGCTGCTGAGAGTTTGTATCTCGGCGGGCCTTGGGTGGAGGCGGGAAGCGGCGGGAAGGAGACATAGCCTGCTCCGATGGACCGCGTCAGGCGGAGCGTTTGGCAGGTTTCCTCCTCCGCTCTGAGCGTCGTGTGTTCTGTTTTCCAGATGAGCGGGAGGCAGTGCAGAAGAAAACCTTCACCAAATGGGTTAACTCTCACCTGGCCCGAGTCACGTGCCGGATCAGCGACCTGTACAGCGACTTACGAGATGGACGGATGCTGCTACGCCTCCTGGAAGTGCTCTCGGGGGAGCAGCTGGTGAGTTGTCTAAAAAAAAAGAGAAGCATCAGAAATAATCAATTTTGTCTCCCTTTACCCGCACCAAAGCTTCAAATTTGCAGTCTGTTGTTTAATTCTAAGAGGGTTTTAATCTTGTTGCAGAGTTTTTAATTTCTGGTAAAATCCCTTTCTTTTAGAAGTACAGTGGTGCCTCGCTAGACGATGATAATCCGTTCCACTGAAATCGCTGTTTAGCGAAATCATTGTCTAGTGAAAAGCATTTCCCCATTGGAATGCATTGAAACCTGTTTCATGCGTTCCAATGGGGAAGAATCGTCGTTGTCTAGTGAAGATAGGCCATAGGAAAGCTGCTTTGAGAACCACCGATCAGCTGTTTAAATCGCTGTCTTGCGAAGCTTAGGTCCCGAAAACACCCGTTTTGCGAGCACGGAGGGAGCTGTCAAAATTGTCGTCTAGTGAAAATCGGTTTGCGAAGCAGGGACCAAACATTGTCCAGCGAAATTCCTCCATAGGAATCGCTATTTTGCGAATCGCTATACCAATCGCAAAAAGTCAATGTCCAGCGAAAAAAAATGTCATGCGGGGTAACTGTCTAGCGAGACACCACTGTACAGAGACCCACAAAGGGAGAATAGCTACAAGTCCCCCAGATAGTCCACTCCTTTTTCATTAAGTGCCTTTACAGTGACTCACCCTGAGACGCTTTCGGAGAAAGAATTTAAAAAAAACATTACTTACAGTTGTTTGAAGTTACAGACTTGTGTGGGCTGCTTTCTTTACTGCCCGTGTACTTAGCAACCGACTGAACAGATCAACAGCAGACAAACAACTGCCACCAACAGATGAAAGAGGGAGAAAGAGACACTCAGTGGAGACACTTCAGCGAAATCAAAGGCTGGAAGGAAAATTTCTTAACCTCCGCCAGCTATTTCTCCATCCGATGCTTCCAGTGAATAAATTCAGGGATAGCCATTTGCATAATGAAATTAGGGAATCAGCTATCAAGCGTACAGAATGTAAACTAAAAAAAAAAAATTGGCAGAATTCTGGAAGATAATAAATGTCCAAGCACATTGTCATTTATTTATATTTTATTTTTATGCCACCCCGTTAGTGAATGCGCTACTCGGGGGCAGTTTACAAATTAAAACGCAAAAAAACCCCACCCACCCCCCATATAACGATATAGTTAAAATGGAGGTTTACAGCTCCAGTTCTAAAATCAATACAAGAAGGAAAAGAAAGCACAAGAGGGAAAAATATACAGTGGTGCCTCGCTTAACGAGCGCACCGTATAACGACGAAATCGCATAGCGATCCGTTTTTTTGGATCGCTAATGCGATCGCTTACCGATGGGCCCTATGGCCGAAAATCGCTTTACAAAGATTAGTAAGCGTTTCGCTTACTGATCTTCGCAAAACGAAGCCCCGACGATCAGCTGTTCGGCGGACAAAATGGCTGCCGGAAGCTCCCTAATGGCTGCGCGCAGCGTTTTCGTGCTCTCCCCTCGCTTAACGAGGGTGCGAAAATGGCTGCCGGCCATAGGAAACCTCGCTGAACGGTGAGTAAAGGAGCCTTTTGGAACGCATTAAACGATGTTTAATGCGTTCCAATGGCTTTCCCTGTCCCGTTCAGCGATGTTTCGCTATAGCGAAGGTTAATCCGGAACGGATTAACCTCGCTGTGCGAGGCACCACTGTATATATATTAACAGCATCTGGAGATAAATTAATAGAGGTACCTTTATATAATTCTGGTTTCCTGAATATCAGGAGAAAGGAGGAGCCTGGCATGATGATGATGATGATGGTGGTGGTGGTGGTGGTGGTGGTGATGGTGGTCTTAATTTGATTGTCCCTCCCGGGGTGAAGATATACCTTTCTCCAAATATTTTGGGCTTTATCAGGGTGGAATGGAAGGAAGGAAGGAGGGAATGAATGACATTCCGTTCATTCATTCATTCATTCACTCATTCATTCGTTCAGCCCCATTAGCCATACTATCTGCAGTGATAGCTGGAGAGGAACCTGATAACATCCAGAGGTTCCTGTTCATCTTGGTCTGTCGTGTTCATGCCATTGACGTTTGGCATAGATCTTTAATTTCTAACATTAATACAGTTGTTGTTGTTGCTGTTAATGTGCCATCAGATCACCTGCAACTCATGTCAACCCTATGAATATTCCCGAGAATATCTTTTAACAGTCCTGCTCAGCTCTTGCACACTCAAAAGCCTGTGGCTTCCTTGAGGGGGTCCGTCCATCTTGCATGGGGGTCTTCCTCTTTTCCTGCTGCCTTCTGCCTTTCCCAGCATGACGGTCTTTTCCGGACATAATCCTGCCTTCTCATGAGGTGCCCCAAATAAGACAGCCTCAGCTTCAGCCTTTTTGCCTCCAGAGATCACGGCAGCCGGTTTAATTGTTTCGTGCAAAGTCCCCTCGACCACCTAACAGGCAGGTGTGGTTTAAAGTGAAAAAAAGGAAATATAACGGGGTGGGGTGGGGGAAACCCATGTTAATATAATTCTTTATGAGGCCAACCAGAAGAATATTAAATATATATTCTGGGAGGTTAGGCTAAGAACAGAGGCTGACAAAAAGGACTCTCGTGTCTCAATAATGATTTTCCAGTGGTCGTACGGCACGCAGAGAGATTAGACATTTATTTTAATGTATAAACTGCATTTCGCTATATGTGTACGGTGGAATTCCTTGTTGTGTGCGGTCAAGTTATCTCCAGTGGATCCTGTCCAAAATCCCCGGTCCTCCCCCAGCCCGGCTCACCTCTTGCAAACCAAGCCTGTGGCTTCCTTTGAGCAGTTAATCCATCTCTTATATGGCCTTCCTCTTTTCCTGCTGCCCAAGATATGTGCTTTTTTTTTAACACAGATCTCAGGTTACGACAAGCCTCACAACACACACACACACACAACGGTGAAAGATGAGCTGTCACCCCGTGGGTGTGGCGGTGCGTGCCCGCAGGTGTGGTCGTCTCCTGCCTGGTTGTGTCAGAAAGAAAAAAAACAGCTTTGTGGCATCCGCCCGGTGACCCGGTGGATGGCGCGGTTCGTGGGAGTGATTCTCACACGGATCGGTTGAACCAAACGGTGCCAGCGACGGGCCCGCGGAGAGGGGAACGGTGCCTTTCCAGTCTTGGTGAAGTGGTTTTTCTGGTTCCCCGAGGAAGCTGGCGCTTTGAGATCTGCCCTGCCCAACAGCTTTGATCGAATCTTCTGCCAGAGCTGCTAAATTTCTGGCTGGTACTGTTTTTTTTGGGGGGGGGAAGAGAAGAGACATGGGAAAACAGAGAAAAGGATGCTGAATTGCGCTGAAAGATGTTCAGAAGGACCTAGGGTGGGTGGGTGGTCTAGGAACCAAACAGATTTAATCAAGATCACCCTTCAATCCTTCTTCAGCGGTGCCTCGCTAGACGGTTACCCTGCATGACAGTTTTTTCGCTAGACCACGACGATTCTTCCCCATTGGAATGCATTAAACAGGTTTCAATGCATTCCAATGGGGAAATGCTTTTCGCTAGACGATGATTTCGCTAAACAGCGATTTCAGTGGAACAGATTATCATCGTCTAGCGAGGCACCACTGTACCAATTTGTTTTTACACCAGGCAGTATATTATAATGTTGTAGCCTATGTACGTGAGTATACATTTACGTAGGGATGAATGTATTTATTAAAAGTATTTATCGATTGGTTTCCTGCCCTCCAGGGCTTCCGAAGGGGGATGTCCAGTAAAATAGATTTTAAAACACAACTTTAAAAAAAGCAAACCGCTTTGGCCTCTATGCCTTCTGATAATCCCATCCTGCCGACCGCATGGAGCTGACGCAACCCCACATTTTCCCGGGCCTTCTGGCGAAGCTTCGTTTGGAATTTTTGGCTGAGTTAAATAAAGATCGTGCCGTTCGAGTGATCCTTCCCGGGCCACCTCCCACCGATGGGGGGGGGATCTTTAAACCTTTCCTTCCCCAAAACCTGCCCACTCGGTCATAGAAAGTGGGCCAAACAGCCCGCCTGCAGCCAGCGGCCGACGACGGCCGCTCGCATGTTGGTGTTTTGCTCCGGGAAAGGCTGTGAGTCACGAGTTTCCCCTACCCACCCTTATTTTTAAATATAAATGGGAATGTTGCAGGCCCAGAATCGGAACGTGGTCGAACCGGCTTGTGCCATCCCCGGAGCGCCGGCCCACGCTGCTCTTCCCAGCAGAAGGTCCCCGATTTTGCCTGGGAACGGCCAGCGATTGCCAGCTTCCCCGCAAGCCCCACGCCTGCCGATTGCCGTCAACGGATCCGCGCTTGGAGCCGGCGCCACCCATCCGATTGAGCAAAAGGGAAAGCTGGTTTCCAAACAGGAGGAGCGAAGGAATGCAGGCAACAGCCCCAGCCGTGCCCCTCCCTCGGGGCTTCTGAACTCCGGCGACAACGCGGGCAGGGATCCTTCCCGCAAACGCCCGTCTGGGGAAGCCGCGTTTTGGTGCCAACCGGCTGGGGCAAGCTGGCGCGGCCGGGCACGGTTCGTAGCCTTGCCAAGGGGTGGTTGGCAGCCAGGCAGACAGAAAAGAGACGCAGAAGCACCTGCCTGGGTGCAGATAGGACGGCTAGCATGTGTAGTGGTTAGAGCAGGCAGTGGTCCTCATCAGGCCACATCAGAGATCAGCCCTAGTCAATGATACCGGGGGTGGATAATGGACCAACCCCATCCTCAGGCTAAGCCCATCCTTTCCAGGCAGGCTTTGAAGCAGCGCGTCTCGCCGGAACGGCTCGTTCATTAAACTTGGAGCTTTTTAAATGTTTTAAATAATACAGTGGTGCCTCGCTAGACGATGATAATCCGTTCCACTGAGATCGCTGTCTAGCGAAATCATTGTCTAGCGAAAAGCAAATCGTTGACCAAATATTGCCCAGCGAAATTCCCCCATAGGAATCACTGTTTTGCGAATCGCTATAGCGATCGCAAAAAGTCAGTGTCTAGCGAAAAAACTGTCATGCGGGGTAACTGTCTAGCGAGGCACCACTGTAATCGTTTATGCCGTCAAGTCAATTCTGGCTTAGGGTGACCCTTTTGAGGGTTTTCCCGGGTAAAGAATACTTGAAAGTGGTTACCAGTCTCTGGGACGACTGGGCCCAAAGCTACCTAGGCTGGCTGTTCTCCCAGGAGGGCCCAGTGGGGGATTCAAACTCCCAACCTCTGAGCTAGCCAACCAGCAATTGCCACCTTGCATGTAGAGGGTTGTTATTTCATTTTATAGATAAGGGTCTTATTTCTTGTTGCAGTGCATAAACAAGACTGGTTATTTATGACGCAGGTTTAAAGGCGAGTAAGCCATAATGAACGATGGATTGAATATAAAATGTGAAGAGATGAAGCAGGACATCAGAGCGCCGAGAGGCTTTAAATCAGGTTTTTTAATATATATAAAAAAACAAGATTAGGGTTAAAAAAACATTGAATGCAGCTGAAAGACTGCACGAGGAGCAAAATTAGGCAACCGTTGTTTCTGGAAGAACCATCTTACTGGGTGGCCTCTGTTTGGAGGAAGGATCTAATTAAATGATAGATCAAAAGGTCCCAAATTTCAGAGCTGCCGTTTCTAATTAGGGCTTGAAGAAGACACCATTCATTTCCCTTTGGTTTGTTTCATCATAGGGTTTTCAAAGTGAAAAGGTAAGGAGTAGGGTTTTTTTTATTGCCTTCCGCTGCGCAGTACTAACAAGAGTTAGCTCGTATGTCATTCCCGTTCTCTATGGAAGATCCTCCACTCTTGGTTCATCTTCAGCTGCTACCGCCTGCCCCAGTAGCAAGCTGGACTCTCCCCTAGAAGGAAAAATAATTAAACTGGGGTTGTGGTTCTTTGGGCGCATGGTGAGAGAAGATTGATCGGAAAAGACAATAAAGCTAGGAAAAGCTGAGTTGTGGTTCTTTGGGTGCATGGTGAGAGAAGATTGGATCGGAAAAGACAATAAAGCTAGGAAAAGCTGAAGGCAACAGGAGGAGAGGAAGACCAAGTACGAGATGGTTTGAGTTCGTAAAGGAAGCCATGACCTTAATTTTGCAAGAGCTGAGCAGGTCTGTTGAGGATGGGATATTTTGGGGGTCACTCGTTCATAGGATGGCCATGTATTGGATACATTTTGACCGCACAGAAGAAAACCCCAGGGTCTGAAACTTGGAAAGCCAGTGACTTTTAGTATAGAGAGACAGGGCTCCAGATGTTTTTATTTTTAGTTTACATTTTAGCCCCCAGTCATGGCCGTACTAAGGTTTGATGTCCTGGGGGAAAGCGTTCTGCACATGCTCGAGGGAACTGCTGTGCATCTACTCTCGGGCGGTTCCTGGGTTCCGATAGAGCCTCCCTTTTTTTCTTCTCCAAGCCCAAGCCAACCAAGGGCCGGATGCGAATCCACTGCCTGGAGAACGTGGACAAGGCCCTCCAGTTCTTGAAGGAGCAGCGCGTCCACTTGGAGAACATGGGGTCGCACGACATCGTCGACGGCAACCATCGCCTCACACTGGGCCTCATCTGGACCATCATCCTCCGTTTCCAGGTACCGTCTGTGAGCGCCCCACATTGGCCCTCTCCCTGAGGTGGGCCAGAAAATCTTCATGTAGGAACAGAATTCCACTTCTTTCCTTTCCTTTCCCCTCTTAGAAGCTCATGAAAAAAACTCTTGAGCAGGAAAACCCGAGATGCAAGTGTTGATAATTAAAAAAATTAAAATACAGTGGTGCCTTGCTTAACGAGCACACCGTATAACGACGAATCCGCATAGCGATCCCGTTTTCGGTATCGCTAATGCGGAGGCATAGTGTCGGCCCCAATGGGCAAAACTCGCATAGCGAAGATCGGTAAGCGTTTCGCTTACTGATCTTCACTTTGCGATGCCTGCGGATCAGCTGTTCAGTGGTTTCAAAATGGCTGCCGGACGTCCAAAATGGCCACGCGCAGTGTTTTCACACCCTCCCCTCATTTACCGAGGGCGCGAAAATGGCTGCTGGACCCTGGAAACTTTGCTAAACGGTGAGTTTTGTGCGCAATGGGCTTCCCCGTTCCGTTTAGCGAAGTTTTCACATAGCGAAGGTTTCACATAGCCTCGTGGCGCAGTGGTTAAACCGCTGTACTGCAGCTAAAACTGTGCTCACGACCTGGGGTTCAAATCCCAGGTAGCCGGCTCAAGGTTGACTCAGCCTTCTATCCTTCCGAGGTCGGTAAAATGAGTACCCAGCTTGCTGGGGGTGCAATGTGTAGCCTGTATAATTAAATTATAAACCGCCCAGAGTGAAGTGCTATGGGGCGGTATATAAGCAGCACGCTTTGCTTTTTTTAAAAATCCGGAATGGATTAACCTCATATGCGGGGCACCACTGTAGAAGGGTTTTTCAGTTGTGATTGATCAAGGTGTATGTTTTCCCCCCTCTCTTAGATCCAGGATATCAGCGTGGAGACGGAAGATAATAAGGAGAAGAAATCAGCAAAAGATGCCTTACTGCTCTGGTGTCAGATGAAAACGGCTGGGTGAGGACGGAAGGCGGGGTGGAAAAAAAACACAGTTCAGGTTCCCCTTCTTTCCCCCGCCGCGTGGGGCTGCCGTCGGGCTGGACGTGGCCCCCCCCCAGGTTCAGATCCAGTTCATCTGGGGCGTGACACAGCCCACGGTCTCCTCTCTCGTTTTAAACACGGTCTGGAGTTGCTTACCCCAGTCGAACCGAAGCCTAAGGGGTAGACTCGGCTGTGAAAGGCACTCTGGACATGCTCAGAAACTCAGCCAAAGCCTTGATCAGCGATTTTTCTGGGGTCTGTCGTCGCCTCTTCCTGTCCCGGACGAGTGCAAGCTTTTCTTGCATTGTTTCGGGTTTTTTTTTAAATGATGTGATTTCAGGGCTATTGTCGGTCGCTGAAATCCTGTTGCTTCTGGTCGTACGTTGCACTAAATTAGACCCACCGAATCACTGCAGGTTGGGTGAGTTCGCTGTCCCAGAGGTTCTGTGGATCCAAATGGGCCTACTCAGGTTGCAACTTACTGTGCTAAATTAAGTCGCAACCAGAGTTAGAACCATTGCAAGCAACGTGCAGAGGGGTTGATTCAGGCCTCTTTTATTATAGCATTAGGCCAAGCAACAGGATGTTAGCCTCTGTTAATCAAGTACAGTAGGACTCCCTTATCTGTGGATCAGGTATCCACTGATTCACTTACCCGCACTCGTATTTACACTTACCCGTATATATTAAATATATATACTGTATTTTTCCATGTATAAGACTGTACTTTTCTCTAAAATCTTTAGACTAAAAATTGAGGGTCGTCTTATACTCGGAGGTAAGATGAGGAAAGAACAAAAATAAATGGAGGGGAAAGCAGGGATCAAAGTGATCCTGCAGGGCTTTGATCCCTGCTTTCCCCTCCACTTGTTAAGCCCCACTTAGATTTCTTAATTTTGGGTTACAAAAGTGGGGGGCGTCTTATACATGGAGGCGTCTTATACACGGAAAATACGGTAGTTTTAAAAACCCAGGAAATATGTATTTCCTAAGATGAAGTTACCAGAACTGACCACAAGAGCCTGCTTCCCCCTCCACTTGTTAAGCCCCACTTAGATTTCTTAATTTTGGGTTACAAAAGTGGGGGGCGTCTTATACATGGAGGCGTCTTATACACGGAAAATACGGTAGTTTTAAAAACCCAGGAAATATGTATTTCCTAAGATGAAGTTACCAGAACTGACCACAAGAGGAAGCCAGAGGCCATGCTCTATAGAGCATCGTTATTAAAATAATGTTCACAATTATCCACGTTTTTCAGCATCCGCAGGGGCGTGGCTTGGAACCAAATGGGGGGTCCGACGAGACCGATTCCTATTAGGTCTCCCTTTTGTGACCTGCTGTGAAGTTTGGGGAACGCCCAAAATTTGAACTGAAAAAGAAGCATAATGACTAAGCAGGGGCCTCCTCTTTCCTGATCCCATTTCAGATACCCAAATGTGAATGTCCACAATTTTACCACGAGTTGGAGAGACGGCCTCGCGTTCAACGCCATTGTCCACAAACACAGGTCAGTGCCGGTGGTTGGGTTAGATTCGATTCCGCCACTGGACATACTGTCCTTGCAGGCTGCTCATGGTAATGCATGCTTTCCCCACCCCCTTCCTTCCGAATGTGCGAACCCCTCTTCTTCAAGAAGAAGAATCATGCACTATCAAGTCGATTCCGACTTATGGAGACCCTTTTCAGCATTTCCAGGTAGAGCGCACTTGGAAGTGCTTTACCCTTCCCTTCCTCTAGGGGGAACCCTGGGACGGTGCCAATTGCCCAAGGCTACCCAGTCTTAACCCTTGAAGGTCCAGTGGGGGATTTGAACTTCCAACCTCTGGCTCTGCAGCCAGGCATCTAAACCACAGAGTTACCCAGCCAACTGTAAGGCTAATTATCTGTACGGCCCATTTTTTTTTAAAAAAGGATCAGACTCCTGTCCCCGATCTGCTCCCACATAAGCTGAGAGCAAGGTGGAGGGTGTTTTTTAACCCCTTCCTCCTCCGTGTGAAGAGCAGCGAAAACTTTAATAGATACTCTCTCCTGCTGGTGTTTGGGCAGGTAAATCGGCCTCTTTTTTTTCCAAGCGGGCACAGCTTTTGGGGGCTGTTCGACCACTTGCAGAAGAGAAGCTTCTAACAAGGATTTGGGCACTGTATTGATTTTTTGGGGGGGGCGTTAGGGGAGTAGAAATCTGGCCGCCACTTTTCCTTAAAATCTTCTTTTGGAAAGTTAGAAATCCCACATTGCTCTCTTCCTCAGTGTCAAGCTCCTAGTCCTTAGTGTGTTTTTTTGGGGAGGGAAGAGGATGCCATCTGTCTGCATGCAGTTAATTCTCGTCTACTTTCCCACTTCCAGATCGGTTATTTCTTTTACTGTGGTCTTTGGCCCTGTGTAAAAACACTGTTATAATGACAAGTGCTTTGTGGATCAGGACCGGTGAACCTTCCCGCTTTGATTCCCTGCCCCGTGTGTGTGTGTGTTTTCACTTTGGTGTTCTCCACAGGCCGGACCTACTTTCCCACTTCCAGATCGGTTATTTCTTTTACTGTGGTCTTTGGTCCTGTGTAAAAACAGTGTTATAATGACAAGTGCTTTGTGGAGCAGGACCGGCGAACCTTCCCTTTTTGATTCCCCGCCCCGTGTGTGTGTGTGTGTGTTTTCACTTTGGTGTTCTCCACAGGCCGGACTTGATAGACATCGACACGCTGAAAAGATGCAACGCACACTACAACCTCCAAAATGCCTTCAACATTGCTGAAAAGGAACTAGGCTTGACAAAGCTCTTAGACCCGGAAGGTGGGTCAAACTCACTTTCTGTTTGGTTGGGTTGTGGTTTGGGGGGGTCTTCCCGTCTATATTCTTTCCTTTTTGCGGGCGAATACGACGTCTGGATCAGCGGGCGGGGGGCGGCAACGTTGTGGTGAACAATGAAGTTAATAATGAGCTCCCCAGGATGATGGATACAACCCTTGAGAGGCAGCCGGGGCCCGATGGGTAGAGTTGTTGGATCGCAACTCGGCAGATTTATTGATTTATTTATTTCATGCATTTATAGGGTTCATGTACTCCTCTAAGGGCTTTACGACTAAAAAGGAAGCAATGGGCCACCGAGCCAACATTAAACCGCCCAACAGTGAAGCACACACCATAATTCAAAGAAATCCCAAATATTCAGGGACCATAGCTAATTAAGAGAGGGTGTCCCCGAATGCTTCTTGAAACAGGACAGATCAACCAACCTGGCCTTCTTTGTTTAAATGTGGTGTTATTTTGCCCAGCCTTTTGAGAGGCAGTGTGGCATAGCAGTGAGTGTTGGACTAGCGCGGATTCTAGTCCCCGTTTCAGATATTAAGTGACCTTGAATCACTTAATAGAATTGTTGAGTTGGAAGGGGCCTTTAAGACCATCCCCTTGGTCAGTAGAGGAATCCAGACCCAAATAGATAGTGGTCTTAATCGTAAAAATGGGGATAGAGGGCTTTGGACCCCCTTTAGAGGGGGAAAAGACGGGATATAATGGGAACCAAGGAATAAACCGAAAGAAAAAGCAGCCAGCATTTTCATTCTTGAGCTACCATTGGGATTTAAAATGTTGTAATAGGATATAGAGAAAGAAATAAAGCCACTAACAGGTGCGGTCACCGTTCCTCTGAGGAGACGTGACTGCAGTCCTCCATTTTCTAGCAAGCTCCTTTGAATTTTGGTGGTTTATCCAGCCAGACCTGTTCAGCTTTAACGGGAATATTTTTGGCCCGCTGGAGTCCAGCTTTTAATTTTTAACGAGAGTTGCAAACCCATTGCTGTTTAAACGGCGGCTCTTGCCCTTTAAATGGCCGCCGCGAAGGCCGGAATCTCTTCCAAGAGAGAGAAAGGAACGGCTCGGCCTTTACTTTCATATTTTCCACCCCCGCCTGCCTTCCTCGGCGCTCCTCTGACCTTTTAAAAAATAGTAAAAATTTGAAAGCATCCTCCACGTCACCTTTACCTGCCCAGGGAAAATCAGTGCCCCCCCCAGGGGCTCTGACGGACGATGCTCCTGCTCTAGAGTAAAAGAAGAAGAAAAAGGTCTGGGATCGGCCCTTTTTCTTTCTTTTTTCATGATTCTTTCCCTTCCATGTGATTCTACTTGCCAAGAGCCACCGAAATAAGATGGTGGTTGGGTTTTAGAATAGGCGGGTGAAAAGAAAAGCAAGATGGGATTTGTTCCCCCCACTTCTTCTGAGGCTCAGACCCCCAGGGTGCAGGCGTGTGGCCCACCAGATGGGGCAGCACTCCGGTTCCCATCTGCCCCAGCTAGAAAGGCTGAGGTTTGGGGATGATGGGCGTGGAGTTCCAGCCCTGCCTCTTTACCTTGGCAAAGCAGGAAAAGGAGGTTCGGTGGACGTCGGCTGTGATAGGATTCAGCACAGCTGATCCTTATGCACGACAGCACCTAAATCAAACTTTTTGTTTGCAAGAGAGACAGGAGAAGAGGTGAGGTGATCCTGGGGGGCTGAGGGTTACTCTGGTTTGGCCCCCTTCCTGGGTCCCTCGCTTGGGACCGTTGTGTTTTCTAGCTGGATCCTGTAGCTTGGTGGCAGAGCGACATGATAGGAGAGAGACTCTCTCTCTGCAATGTTTTAGTTTATTGTTTCTAAACCTCTGTATGAATCTCCTCTACCGACCTGGTTGTACTTACGACAGCCCTACGAGGTAGGTTAGATGGAAAGAGTGACTGAATTAAAGTCCACCCCTTTTCTCACTCGGCCGGCGCTTACCGTCTCAGGTAACTCACTCTCGAGACCTTAGTAAGAGAAAGAATTTTTTTAAAAAAATGTTCTTATGGTTGGGAACAGCGCATACAGCAAACTTGACAAGCGCGGCTGCTTTCAGCGACAAACTCTAGAGAACAAAAGCACTGAGCTTAAATCCAGAGGCAGAAGGGAACTTTTGCTTGGTGCCAGATAGATTTGCAGTTCCCCCAGGCAGGAAAGGTCCCTCTCCGCTGAACCTTTTTCCGGCAGAGTTGTTTTTCAGATCCCAGACGGGGGTGGCGGTCGCGCTGGGGCATATCACGTCGGTTTGCTGACCGAACTCACACTCTTAGGTCTTCCGGGCTTCCCAAGAAGCCTCGGATAAGACGCTGGAGGAAAGAGGCCGTTGGTTTACGTTAGGTGTTTAGTCTCTGACGTTTGCAACGTTCTGGTGTCCTTAAATTCATACGGCCGGAGCGCGATTTCAGGGCTTAGGGAGGAATCGGGGGGGGGGGG